ATATAGGGTTTTTCAAGGACTTCTATGTTAAAACTTATCTCATCTAGCCTTCGTGTCAATAACGTGCAACGAATATCGAAAATCAAAAAAACATACCTCAATCATTTCTTACCACAAAGTTTTTTAAATAGCTGGTACGTGCCTTACGTAATATATGAATTCTTACGCCTGAAAGGAATTGGTTTGGGTAAGTTGGGAAGCATAGGAAGGGTCAATTAAATAATTGTATTWAAGATGCATTACATATTAAAGATCAATCTCGTACCCAGAACCACTGTCCCTCTTACTCGCAGGCTCGACGAAAAACAGAGGCTAGCCCCTGTTCTTCGTTGCGAGCCTGCGAGTAAGAGGGACAGTGGCGCTGGGTACGAGATTGATTAAAGATTAATGTGGATTTGTTGTTGCTGTTGTTTCTGCATATTATAAATCACCGTGGAACAGATGGCCATTGATGAGATTTGGTTGAGTTTTCCGCATATTTGATTTCTTGTGTGGTGGAACAGATCAACAAAATAAGGGATGGTTTGAAATATTTGCAATGTTGCAATGATACCTAGCATTGGCTTCGCAAATGCACTTTAGATTTTTAGTATAATGATGGGTCGATTAATAAAATATACTAATTGTATGCTTGACTTTAACTATGCCACATGAAAAGAAATGTTTAATCAGCAAATTTCCTATTCTGTTGCTACAAGTTGGGTTTTCTTGTTGGTCTCTCTCCTAGTCCCCTCATCAATATTTCGTGAGGAAAATCGACAATTAGATACCATGAGAAAGTCACCGAGTTATGGAGACTACATTAGTCATCTTAAAACGTTTCAATTGTTACGTGCGGTATGAATTTTTTCTTGGGTAAGTAGTTGGGTTACCGGTTGAGAAGTAAGGGAAGGTTCATTTCTCATTACACTTATTATTATCGTCTTCATAGRTATTGTACATTTGCTTATATACAGATATTAATTCATTTGTAAATTATTGCGGAAGATCCCTTCCTTTCTTTCTCCCTTTCTTTGTTTCTTCTTGTATCCTTACTCTCGGAGTTCCAAAGACTTTTTCGACCAAATATCGCCACGGATTTGAAATTGCATTGTTTTAATATGAAAGGGTCAGATTGAGATCGGAGGGAAAGAAGTACACTTTCATATGTTCAACCAACGACATTAATAAGGAAGATTGAACGCTTTCTTCCTGTCGCTTTGGTAACATCTCACGAACGCCCTTCACTTGCCACAAGGGTATGACGTCATAAATCTTGAAACTTCAAGATGTCATGAATCCCTCAACACTTTTGACCGTTAAAMTGATTTATCATGCATACGTTGTTAAACTGATTTTTTATACATATCCTTGATTCTTCAATATTAGGGACTGTGCAYTAATCGAATGTGCTGATCCCTTGAATTCTATTTCTCGCTTGGTTGAAAAGCAAAAAGGTTTCACTAGAATCGCATGAATGAGTTTGGACGCAAAAGAAAACAACAGCTAACGTCACATCGTTATCACTGGTTTTCTTGATCAAAATGGCAACAAGAAACTGAATATTTTTGAGTCAGTTTRAATCTTCCTCATACATGCCGAATTAAAGGCAAATAGCTCTATCAATTTTTGCCTTTTCTATCTAARGGARCTAAGTTTACGCGTTTTGAATAAATGAGGTTTCTGGATTACGCAGATAGTTCTGCCTCGGTGAAAAGAAAAGAAGTTGTTGCCACGTTAGATGAAGTGACTCTTGACGCAAGTCAAACATTGATAAATGAGTGGCTYGGTTTTACATTTACGGATCATATGGCTTAAGCCTAATTAGAAGCTAATGAGATGAAAAAGGTTGTGTGCTGAATAACAACWCGTAAGTTAACAATTTCTTGTTGAATCCGTTTCAGGGCTTCATGTAGCAACACGCACACGCTTGGATAGCTCACGATAACGCTTAGATAATTCATTAGATTACTCTATTTCAGGATGTTTGAGAAWATTTCAGCGAGAGACGATCATCACGACGACGTCGAAATGGACAACACAGCTCACCAAAAAGGCAACCATATTGGGTTAGCATTCTCTGGTGGAGGAATCAGAAGTGCAGCATTCAGTTCGGGGATTCTGCGTCGTCTTCTTCAAAAGAAGATTCAGGTGGACTATATGAGCTGTGTTTCTGGTGGGAACTTTACCGCAGCGGCGTATTTGGATTGGAAATATCGTCATGACCAAACGGATGACCACACATGGCATCATGCGCTATTTGAAAACATGCGATCACGATCGAGTATTTTTTGCGACTGGYGCAAGTTTCACAAAGGTCTTAGAGATACAACCATTCTAGTTTTAACTCTGATTTTGGTTAACGCTGTAATCCCTATCATAGTGTGGGGAGGACTTGCACTGCCMACGGCATACGCCGTTGACTTTCTCTTTGGTGATATCTTACGCAAYGGGTTCAATTGCAGCATACCCATTCCACAAAACTATCCATTTTCCAACACCACAAGATGTTTAAGCCATCATGACCACCATTATCCAGGCGTTAACAGTCAGCTCATCTTGTTTGTAAGCTTTCTTGCATCCTTCTTGCTCATGTTCGTCCTTAAAATCATCGTCAGTAAGTCACGGATCATTCACTTTCTGCAGTTATTATCWGGAACTCTGTTTGCAATGGTGTTCCTCCCTTGGTTCCTGCAGCAGTTCTTTGATAGTATTCCAACYTGGCTTAGTATCCTAATCATCGCCTTGAGTTTGTTCTTTTGGTGTGGATTTCCACCACTTCGCAGGATTGCCTCCCTTGCCGGTATCTTCTACGTCTTTGCGTTCATCGTCAAATGGCGTGTATATCGTAGTCACTGCATTATCTTGGACTACAGAGACGAGTACTTTTATAAAGCAATGCTAGTGGCCGGGTTTGCTCTTTGGGSYAGTCCTTACTTGGGAACCTTACAGTCTGCAATCATTTATTTTGTAGTGAGGTAAACGTTTACTATTCTKTTCATTATATCCCATGCATATCGTGAACATCATGTGACAGACACGGGGTATTTTGATAGATCCCCAATACAATTCAAAAAGAAAAAAGTTGGTTTTTAGCTATAGTTTTGTCTCAGTTAATTATTTGAGATTTACAGACTTTTCTAACTGTATTARTGTTTACTTTGTACAGATGGAGACTCCAAAGCTCTTTRTTCACGGACGAAAGCGTTGGTGCACTTGGAGTTGGTGGAATGACGTGCTTGGGCTTTTTTCCTATCCTGTCACCCATCTGTGACTTCTGTTGTAACAAACAGAGAGCACTTACGATGGCCGATATAGCAAACATGAAACCTGAATACATTAGCAATCTCGAAGCTTCCAACTGGCGCTATAGTCCCGKAGCTCAGCCATCTGTAATGATWGGGGTTGGAACTAGTAAAATTGAAATCATAACTAAACAACCGGGTTCTGARAAGCTCAAATGCCCGCTCATTCCCCAYCATKTTCAACTTGCCGACGCTATGACAACAGCGGCTATTATAACAAAGCCACCCCCTGATCAAGAAAACCAGTTCGAGCCTTGGCGTGAGCTGCTTCTCATCCTTGGATTACAAGTAGCAAACCCTACAATAACACAGCCTACTGTCGACCATAAYTGCAGTTTTAAGAAGGTAATGAAGTTATGAAATCAGCTARTAGATACAACTTTGCTTTTGCCTTGCATCAAATGTTTTTTTCATAATCTAGTCAGTTTTCTAATCAGTCCATCCATCCTTCCATTCCATACCATAATTCATATGGCTACAAAGCCATTATATGTATTTTTTCTGAGAGAGCGTTCTTTCTGCTTCTGCATAACTATTTAAGGTCAATTTATTATTGCACTAAATGTAATTCAACTGTCATCGTTTAGTTTGCTTCAATTGTCCTGCAAAGTATCGTTGGTATTCCAATTATCTTCCTGGCAGTCATATGGCTGGCTGATTTTAAGTTAAGTCCTCGGCTCATTGAAGGCCTTATCGTGCTTATCTTCATCTGCTATGTTGTTGTATTTTCTATCATCGCCATGTTGCCTACTGGAGCAAAGAAATCGTGGTTTGGGGAGTCCTTTGTCAGGTAATGAGGCAGTGTTCGCGGAATTCATATAACTCATTGTACAGACTTTTTACGGGACAAGTGTATCCACTTTTCCGAATGAAATCTACTAGGTTTTTCKTGGGCAACAGGACGAAAAACATAACGAGCCTACATTGATCAGATGTTGCCCTGYTTTAAGATTTTCTAGAAATTAAAAAAAAACTAGGCAAGGTTTGCTCTCAGTCACTCAGGTTTATAAAACGAGTGGATTTACGCATTATATTCAATTCAATTTAATACCGTGCAAGTACTAAACCTTGCACCGCGGACGGCCAGAGGTCAAGGATAGAAAAATATAATCGAAGATATTAAGATTTATTATGTATTGCATGGATTTTTAAAGATATTCGCAAAATTGAAAATTACGAAATTGGAACTATTTTGCATGTACAGCTTGGAAATGCTTAGTACTACTGATAATATGGTTTGCTGTCTATCGTCAATTATATAGTAC